AGGTAAAAATTACTTCAGTAATGCCATGTAATTAGTGAAAAATTATCAAAAATAATGTAAGTTAAAAAGCAACTTAGTAAGAAATTCTTAAAGGCACTTCAGGAATGAACACTTCCCAGAATTGTTGGAATATTAGTTGAAATCAATACTATATTGTGGAAAATAGTTTTAAGAACTCCAAGTAAATGAAAAAAAATGTTAAACCACAATATATTTTAATAGAAGGTTTGACAATTTTTGTTTAATTACTATATGCTCAACAGCAGTTCATTTTGAAAAATGCTCAGCTATCTGGGGTGTGTTCCTCTTTCACCACTGTAAATCACATTAGCTGCAAATTGTGCCACTTAATAGATTGTTTCTAAATTCTGGTACATCTGCTAGCATGGGAGCAGACAGTAGTGAGACTGGTCTCTGAGCAACTTTAATTATGTTTTCCATTCACATGATGGAAGTTCTCAGCCATCAGATGCCATCTGCTATCATTTTTATTTCCAGTCATGTGAATGCTTGCTCAGGGCAGCAAAGGGAACCTTGGCTGTCATACTTGTAAGATGCAATGTCATGAAAACTCTGCTATTGCATTGTACTTGCAAAGCCAGAACCAAGCTCCCAAAGCATGCACTCGATTGACTGTGCTTTGGTTGGTAATAACAGCCAGGAGGTTTTGGTTTTATTTCTGAAAAACCAACACAGTTTTGACTTCAAAGCACTGGAAAATGCTATTTTTATTTTCAACACATTTTTTTTCTGAATCTTGAAGTTTACGTTCATTTTTCTGCTATCTTCTCTTTTTATTCTCTGACTTTTAATCACAAAATGAATTGAATACCTATGACAAAATAAATAGAATCAAGAAATGAGGCAAGATTTGTGTGAGTCTCCCTAGGAGCATTCTTCTTGGAGAGCTATGGTCACGTTGTGTGTGGCATTTTCATCACACCACCTATTTTCTGGGGTGTGTGTAGACCTAGACCGTGAGCCAGTCAGTGGGGTTTGATTTAGTCCCTTCTAGTGTGTGATCATCAGGTAGAAAACAGAAATTGAAAGTGTTAACTGAGGTTTCGGGTGAGAATTCCTCCTCCAGTAACTGCTTAACATTTTAATTTTTTCTTTCCTTTTTCATTCAATGAATCATATCTTCCAGAGGCATCTGGTAATTCACCAGGGTCTTGGTGCTTAGTCCAGATCAGCAGCAGAATCTATTGGGTTACAGCATGTTTGATTAGGATATTAGCTACCATTCAACATGGACACTGTGGTTCCCACTGATGTTGAAATTAGTTTTTGTTTGCAAATTTGATATCACCAATATGTTCCTTTATAAGCTTCCAAATAGAAAGGTTGTTTTAAGTACAACATATACAAGAAATTTTTCTAATTAGAAGGGTTTTAGCTGCTATTTTTACATGGTGTGTCATTATCCGAGCTATCAATATACTGTCTGAAATGCTCATTTATCTGAATAATACTTTAAGGATTTTTTTAATACCCTTAGGTATGTTTGAGTGACAGATTTCTAGGAAAAAAGACAAAGAGGAGCCTTTCAAGAGAGTACAATTTGAGATCCATTAATTTCCCAGAACTTCCTTTTAGTTATCAAAATTATAGGTTGCATGGAGCAGATCTGTTCTGAAACGTACAATGTACAGTGTATTATAAATCCATTGTTAAAAAGGTGTAAAAGTTTTGTGAACCCCAGATCTGGAATTCAATTCATAGCAGTGTTTGAAATATTCCATTTTGGAAGTTTGTTTAAGCTCAAACAACCAAATTCTGTACCAGAGCACTGGGGCATCCTTGTCTAATAGCTTATTACCAACCTCCTAGGGACTCACTGCCATGAAAGGCACTATATAAGCTTAGAGAGATTTTTTTTCTTGCCCCATGTGTAGTTTAGATGTCATTTGTAGTTACTGTATACTGGTAGTTTACTTCAAACGAATGCTGATCGAGGCCTGAGGAAAAGATCGAGCTATGTGCTAAAAAGAGGCAAAATAAAATAAAATAATATACAGCTTTGCTGTTCGACTGAGATATATCTGTGCTGGCTGCCAAATGCTCTTCCTACTTTGAATTCAAAACTGATCATTTTAGCCTGTAGAGATAAGAACAAAGATCATATTTGTTTAAATATTTGGTGGGGTTTAATAAAATATTTTTTTAAGTATTACTGTACTTTAGTTTTTCACAAGAGTCAATAAAAGAAAAACCTGTTCATTCACCTGAGGAGAGCTTGTACAAGCATGCTTACTTTTTGAGAACACAGACCAGAACACAATTGTCTTCAAATACCTCCAGAGAATAATTGTAAAAAGAAAAGGGTGCTTCACAGTGTTCCACAGATGATCAATTATTTCATCAGCTTAGCCTTTTAAAGTCTGTTGCAGATTTTTTCAAGAAAAGGAAATTGATAGGATTGTCAAAGGTACCGAAAGCTTTGAATTGCACAGTATTTGTGTGGTTTACAGGAGCCCTTTAAGAAGACCTAAATACAAAATGTGTCTTCACATGTGTCTTCATGTGCCTTCAAAATTTTATGAAGAAATTGTGTTTTTTTGGAAATTCCTCCTCTTAACTAACATGAAAAAATACCCACCAAGAAGCAAGAGAACATACTGTTGTTTTTTTTTAAAAAAATACATAATGAATATTAAAATCTGATTTTATATAATCTATGTTCCCAACAACACTCTCATAGCTTAAAAGTGAAACCCTAGACCTGTGCAACGTAAAAATGAATAAGACAAATTTCTCACTGTCTCAAATTGCACCAGTATCACTCATTGGCCGAGTAATTTTTGGTGTAGTTTTCCATTGAGTTGATAAGCTAATGTGTTAATTGTGCCTCATAGCAGGTAACCATATTTAGGGCTTCAGAAGTCCTGATCAGCTTTCCTTCTTTCTGCAAGATCTAACAGTTGTCCATTTCTTTGCAACTTGGTGATTAATTTCAATGAAGTGTGTAGATGTAAATGCTATACACCTTCAAAGGTACTTCCATGGTTCAAGGTCCTACTCAACCTCCTCTGGACAATTTTCTGTAAATCACTCCAGCCTAGCTGGATAAATACAGCTTTAGAAATCAAATGTGAGACCTTGGCTTGAAAAGAATATCCTAACACTATTTCATATTAATATGTGCTTTTGGAACCAAATATTGGTAATTTTTCTGCACTTTAAAAACAAACAAAAATAATACACAACCCCCCCAAATTAGAAGATTTTCTTACTGGAAAAATGGTTCAACTATTTACTATATTAACTGTATGTTATATATTTCAGATGATGGGAAAACATATTGATACTTTCAAAATAAATTATGGGTTTAAAATATATGAAAGTATGTTGCCCTAATAAATGGCAACTTATATGAAAAAAGGAAATAAATAACTTGAAGGCTTTATTTAGATTCAGTCTGTTATTGTAAATGATGCTGTCAATTTATTTATTTTTTTATAACCTCCAGCAATGGAAGATTATTGTGATAAATGATTCATATCATTGCAATATATACCTTTCAAAATTTCCATATCTGGAAATTAATAGACACTTCTTGAAGGGTTCAATAGGTTCCTTAGCCAGATAACATGGCTGGAAGCTGCTTCATGATTAATTTCTTCTAAATGTGGTAATTATCATACTTTGAAGTAATGCCCGGAGAACATGCTTTCTCAGAGAGTTAGTGGAAGCAGAGGATTAACCTAGAAATATTTCAGTTCAGAGCAACATATCACCCAAGTAGAAATATATTTTCTTCCAAATTTTTCAAGATTATCAGACTACTTGGCAGTCATTTGCATTACCTTATCTCATATCAACTTCTCCACAGTAATTTAGAAAGCAACAGAAAAAGAAGCAACTTCGTATGATTAACAGTAATAGGATAGTCTTGGATTTGTAAGCAATTTAATTTGACAGTTTCTGCCCTGAAGCATTTCTTATATTAGTGTTTAAGAGCACAATTCATTTATCATTCATATATATTGTGGACATAAGAATTATCCTGCCTATATTCCAGAAACGCTATAGTTAATTAGAGATGATGTTAATTTCCATGTAACCATCCGGGGGAGTACCTTCTACCACTCCTCTATGCATGCCTTTGCTCCTGTCTCACAAGATGCCCACAAGTAATTTCTTGGTTATACAGGTGAGACTTGTAAAAAAGGTGTGTGAAACACCAAGAACATTTCTAAAAATGGGTGATTTTCTACCCAGCTAAGAGCCCTGAGGTAGAATAGCACCAACAATTATAATGGAGAGAGAAGCTATCTCTGCAAATTTCTGCGCATTTATATCACCCCAGTAAAGATTCCAAATGTCTCAGAAATCAGAAAAAAACGTCTTGCAAAAAGGTTGCACAAAAATCCTACCTTAAGTGAGACTGAACAGCCTAATTAAGTCTTTCTGGTAAATTGCTTGGCCATGCTGCATTTTGATTTAGCTAAGTAATTTCAGTTTTATTCAAGTCAACCTGGGATGAATTTTGCCCGCTCTTACATGGACCATATGCAGGGTTGAGTTCCTCTAAATTCAAAAGGTGTTAAGTGGAAAATCTTCTAAGTAGGTCTCAGTTGCGTGATTGCCAACAGCTGCAGGGAGAATGCCTTTCATTACATCTCTCTTCTTGGGCTGCTAGCAACATCCTCCCTTGTGTTCCTGCAGCCTGACCAAGTGCACATGGTGAGCACCCATAGCTCAGCCACTGCATGTAAGCTATGATAACTCAGCCATACATCAAACCCCACAGATTACCACACCAAAATTAAACAAGAGTGTTTATGGTCACACAGGCTTTCCCATATTTACCCTTAGGGTAAAATTAGTGCCATTGTTCCATGGAACAATCAGAAGTGGAATGAATCACTGTATCATAGTGATGCACTTTATTTAGCAAATAAGCTGTTTCACCTCTAAAGCATACACTGCAGTTTTCTGTCTGCCTTTACCCTTACTGTGTTTTTATGCATATGTGTTTGGGTTTTTTTCTCTTACAGATAAAAAAGAAGCTGCTGTATCCAAAGAACTCAAAAGTAAGGAACTACTATCTCTTTTATATGCCATGCAGTTTCAAAAGTGTGTTTCACTAATCAAGAAATATTAGTTATTGAGTTGTTGAAAATACAAAAAAGGTAGTAGCTACACCATTTATAATTGAAAAATGACATGTTTAGACTTCAGCTGCCTCCTACTTTCTTAATCCGTTCTTATCCTACTTCTAACTGCACACTCCTCTTTGTGACTGACAGCTTTGCCTTCCCCTCTTTCCTATCACTGTCTTCAAAAACAAAGGTTTTATAGGAGAGGAAATGTAAAATTGAGGTCTCAGCTGAATGTGATCTCAGTGGCAGCAATTTTCATAAATAGGCTGGGAAGGCTCAGAGTTGAACATGCTGAGAAACACCAAATTTATCTTCACAAATGCAAAACAAGGGCCCTGCCTGTCTAGGTACCTCTGGATCCAACAGTAAAACTTCTGCAGCTGAAGAGAGATGGGGATTGTGCTCTTTTGAAAAATTAGCCAAGAAATGCTCTGAGGACTTTGTATCATTTAAAAGGGAAGGGCTATGTCTTCTTTTTCTGCAAATTTGCAAGTGTCAATGCCTCAACACAGTAAGGACAGTAAGAAAGTATCTTTGGTAAGACTTCATCTGCTCTGCATTCTGTTCTGAAAGTACAGTACATAAGGAAAATAAGGAAAAATATGAGGCTTTGAAATCTGATTCAAATTCACAATTAAAGAGTACACGGGCTCTCATTTCCATATATGAACTTTTGTGACTTCTATGGCAGAACAGTCTTCTGCCATCCTCAGTTTTGCAGCAATTTATTAAAAGATTTCTTTTGACAATGAAAAAAAGAAACCAAAAAACTTATACTTTGGGTTGTTTTGAAAATTTTGCAGAAATATCTAACAAAATATTTCAAGACTTACCCTGTCCTGTTAGTAAAATAAGAACCTGTTTTCAAGCAGGTCTTCAAGGACATATTAATTTGCACACATAATTCTTCAGAACAGCCTTCAAGTGCCTAAATAGAACATACAGGAGAACTGGAGAGGGACTTCTCACAAGGGTATGCAATGAAAGGAAAAGAGACAATGGCTTTAAACTAAGAGTAGGTTTAGATTGCATATTAGCAAGAAATTCTTCACTGTGATGGTGGTGAGGTGCTGGAACAGGTTCCACAGAGAACTGAGATGTCCCCTCCCTGGAAGTGCTCAAGGTCAGGCTGGATGGAGTTTTAAGCAACCTGGTCTCATGAAAGGTGCCTCTGTCTGGCAAGGGATTTGGCATGAGATAATATTTAAGATCCCTTCCAACCCAAACCATTCTTTCATTCCTTTTATGGGAGAATTCCTCAGCAGCTGTCATAGCAAAACTTCCCATCTCCACCATATGAGCAAAATTTCCAGTAGAAAGTAGCTCATGTAAAGATACAGAATCATTAGCACTTAAATAATTTGTGAATAGCAAACTAGAAATGGTATGCCAAAGCCAGTTTAAACATTGGGCAATTTTGTTTCAATACTTCTAACAAGTTATATAAAAATTGAATCAATTACAGAAATTTTTAGTCAAACATATCCTTAATTTTATTTTTTCTCAAAATTATTTTAGTTTCTCAGATATTAAATATTTGAAATCAAAATCTTTGTATAACACAAAGAAACCTTAGTTTGTTTTCACAGATGTTATGAAAAAAAGTTTAAAAATTCAATGTCAAGCATAGCTCTCATAGCTGAGAGCTCAGAAGGGGATAAATGAAAGAGTCCTGCTATTTTGTGTTAGGTCCATTTGACACTTGTAGAGCATGTGTGTTGGATCCCTTCTGCAAAACAGGCATTCCGAAAAGGGATACTGAGTAAATTCTTCTTCAAGGTCTTCTGCAAATTTGGCTGAAGGAGGGGTGAATACCCCAAATAATTACAATGCTGTGATAATAATTAAGTTAGGATATAATTATCAGTTGTGAGCTTTTAAATGGATGGAAATAAAGCAATCCACATTGCACATGCAAACTATATTTTGTTTTCATTCCATTTCACAAGACAATCTGATGCATCTTTTATGAACTTCTCAAAAGACTGGAGGGGAAGGATTCAAAATTACATTCCTGATTTAGACATGTTCTTTTTCATTGTAATAATACAGTGACAGATGTGCAGGATTAACTAACACTTTTTGGCATTCTGTAATTTGGCTTGTGATTAAAATTATTCGTTATTTCCTCTCAAGATATGAAAACGTGAATTTTAATTTAAAGAACCTTCTAGTTGATACCAAAAAATCTTTTATGACTGTTGGTGTAGTTTAGCTTATGGATATTTGTTAAACTATTGTGGTTTAAGTACAGGTTGTTTTGGTAGTTCCTGAGGATAAAAACAATTACTAAATAGTAATAAAGTGTGAATAACTCTAGTAGGTTACTTAGGTTCTCCTACATGGGGCTAAGATTCCCCAAATCCACATGGGGATGTTCATACCATTCATCATTGGGACCTCCATTGACATGCTCTACAAACAAAGAGCAAAACATGCTCTACAAGGACATGCTCTACAAACAAAGATAATATAATGCAAATGCTTCATGAAGAGACCAAGGACAGTTAATGACTGGAGAGGGCATGTTTCTCTGCTAGGAGAATACAGCACTTGCTCTTTCAATAGCAGGATCAAAGATGAAGGCGTTCTCCTAATACTCCTCCATTCTTCAGGATGGAGGGAGATTCCTGGTATAGCCAACTCAACGGATGTACTTTGCAAAAGCAATCCAATTTCACCCGTTGTAACCAGGGCCAGTTTCAGATTAGGGGAAAGGATGCCACTGTGAATAGCTGTGGGATTCCCTGAGGTATCACTACTGAATTCACAAGAGTGAGTCCTCAGCAGCTGACAGAGGCTGGCTCAGGACCTTTCACTCTCATAGCTGCAAGATCAGATGCAGAGACTCCCCACACGCAGCTGCTGCCTGAGGGGCAAGGCCATGCTGAAACCCCTACATGCCTTCTTTCCTCTATTTCGCCAATAGATATTGAACTAGTGAGAAAAAAGCTGAAAGGGATTCGCTGCCTAACAACCAGAGCTTACTACCCTTCAGCTGGTTATTCTGTTGTTGCCTTTGAGTTTATTGACGACAACTCAGCCCTTCTCCCTTTGGGTAATCTCTTTGTTTAACTCCTCAGTTAAAATTATTATTACAGGCTTCCTCACAGGAAACATTTCCTCAGATTTCTGTTGGGTTTTTAAAATAAAATGCTTTGTAATAAATGGTTTATTTTTTTTACTTTTTTTTTTACTTTTTTAAGAGCCAGCAAAAGCTCCTGCAGCCAACCCAGCCATCAAAAAAGCAGCAGCACCAGGTAAAGGAGAAAAATGTTTGCATGCAATGTATTTCTTGTACTCTTGAACCAGTTTATTGCATCATAGCACCATCTGCTGGCTTGCACATGAGCCAGTGGTTTTTGTTAGTTGGGGTGATTTTTTGTCTGTTTTCCTCTAAATCATTGTAACAATTTGTATGTGAAATATTTGTTAAGAAGAAAAGTATTTAGCACATATTTCTAACATTATGTTTGCTTCTTGTCCTCCCATGGTAGCTATAAGGTACCATACTGGGCCATTCTGCAGGGCTTGAGATTAAAAAAGATTAATCTGAATGTAAAGTCTGATTTTAAAAGCAATATTTACAGAGACTAGTTCCCATGTGAAGCTGTATTTGAGCCCTTTGAGAAAGGGATCTTGGTATTTCAAAGCGCTGATCACACAGTAGGTTTTGAAAATGGAGCTCTTGGATAATCATAAATATGCACTGAAAAGACAAGAAAACTTTTTTTTTAAACAAATAATGGCATAAATTCCTGTCTGAATTTAGATTGGATTGTAAAAATCTAATAATTTTTATTTATTTATGATCTCATCTGCTTCGCAACCATCTTCAAAAATGCCACATCTCATTTCTGCTTAATTAAATAAAACCCAGTATAATGAATAACAACCTGAACAGTTATTATATTTGTAGTTTGACTACATTTTATATTAACTATCAAAAAACACCTTAGGAATTCCAATATGAAAATGTGGAGAGTATAAAACCATAATATTATTCTAAATGATGCTGCACCAGACTGTGCCGTTGAGCACTGTGCTGGCATCCCAGAGGTGGCCAGCCCACACTTCCTCTGCTGCTTCTTGCCTCCAGCTGATCCCCCTGTATGGATCTGAGATAGTTTTTTTGTGGTTTTTTGGGGGTTTTTTGTTGTTTTTTTTGTTTGTTTTGTTTTGTTTTGTTTTGTTTTGTTTGTTTGTTTGTTTGTTTGGGTTTTTTTGGTTTTGGTTTTTTTTTGTTTTTTTTTTGGGTTTTTTTGTTTTTTTCTTTAAGATTGTTTTCTGGCTATGTTTCTCAAATTCAGGCTGTTTCAGTGTTCTATCTATCTCAGAGCTCTCCTCCACTGAAATAGGGAATAATATCTTGCATCAATAGGAGTGACTGGGAATTGGTCAAGGATCAGTGCAAGCCAGGAATACCTGCAGTTGTCTCTGCCACAGAAGGACTCATAGCCTGGAATCACAGAGGATGTGGCTGTGGGCTATTGCAGCACATATTGTGTGGCTGCACCATGCACTGTGTGAGGCTGGCCTGGGAAGCACCATTTCCCCACCAGTGCCCCCTGTCCCTGCCTGCTGTGTTTGCTTGACACCATGTTCACCTCTGCTAACACAGCAGGGGGAGCAGTGCAAAGCACCCCACTGCCACGGCTTACAGCTGAGAGCTGTGCTAGCAATGTGTGTGCGGCAGGGCGTTCAGCCTGTCAGTGTGTCTGGCTCCACAACATTTACATTCACGTCACTGATAATTTCTTAAAGCAGCTTTGTTGCCACAGTGTGTTGTAGAGCTAGACCCTTAGAAGTCTCAACAGAACTCTGTAGAAATCGTTATGTTGGAACCATATGCTTATAATTAATTCATTCCACCTGCTTGCATCCAATATTTGTGTTCATGTTTGAAAAATATTCCAATGAGTCTGCTTGTTGGCAAGAATGGTGATGACAGTAATCTGCTTAAGAAAAAGAAAAGGGGGGAAATTGGCATGGCTTCTTATGGAAAAATAAAATAAGTTTGTCTGTTCTGACACATTTCTAAATATCTAGTTTGCCTTAAAAATTATAAAGAGCAGTAGGTTTTGAGTTCTACATTTTAGCTTCCCCTCCAGTTCTCTGAAAATTGATTTACCACCAGAATGACTCACCATAGCAAAATGTTAAATATGCTTGTTTGGCAATATCATAAGTAGACTGCTGCCTATTAGCACAGTAAATTAAATACATTATCCAATTTCATATTTCATTTTCTTCCACATATCTTATTACATCATAACCTGGACCCAAGAATGCCTAAAGCTCAAGGTTTACTCCTCTTAACAGATTGAACAGACTGAGAGCACAGCTGGTCATCTCACAGTGCATCTACATCACATATGTTCCTGATCTTAATGTCACTGGCTGAGAAATCCCTGCCTATTCAACATGCATTATTTTAATCTCCCTGCATGTATACAGAGAAGGCAAAGAAAGTGAATATGGAGTCTGGAAGTGTATGAGAACTTTTGGATCTGCAAGCTGACAGCTGCTCTAGGAAACCAGCCTCAATACATTTCCATCACTTAATTTTGAAAGTTGATATTTTCAAACATTTCTAAATTTCTCTAAGTGGGAAAAGTCTCTTATCTGGCAGTCATTGGAAAATGGACTTGAAATCCCAGGATTGGGCTGTAAAGCAGAACAGTATCTTAGATATATGCAAGTGATGCTGTTCTAAGGGAACAAAGCAGGGTTGAAGATGTTTTATTACATATTTTCCTAAATAACCCTGTTTTATGTTGTTGCCATTCTAAATCCTGCAGACATTACCTCCTTTTTTTTCTGCACAGTGCATTTTCTCCCCAGCTGTGCCATCAGAACAGGTCTGAGAGTGACCCACCCTTACAAAACAACCGTCCCTTTGCCCTGAGGAGTGGCACGGGTTTTATTCATAGGATTTCCTCCTGTGTGCTGAGCCCAGCAGGTCTCTCTAAAGGGTTTCTCAGAGCTGGGGGTGGAGGGGGTGAGTAGCTGACTCATCCTGACATCTTTTGTAAGGAGAGGGGGCTAGGAGGGAAATCTGCCTCTTTTTCCCATCCCTCTGGAGCCTCACACCTCAATCCTTACCATGCCCCACAGCTGTATTTAATTCTGTTGGGTGTGGCAGTCATCACACCTCGATTTAGTACATTTTCTGTGTGTGTTTTGTCACTGTGGGAAAGCCAGCGCATGGAGGTGCAGGACAGGGCAGGGAGCAGAGGCTCAAACCATGCAGAGAGCATTTCCAGCTAAATTTGTGAATTTAGGCTGGCTGTATTCCCTGGCAGGCAGTGAGGAGCCGCAGTGCCACTGGTTAGTGGCAGTCCCGTAGCTAGGGGGAGGGATGGGAACAGCTTGTCTCTGAGTCCCTCTCAGGAGATGACCTCACTTCATAGGCAAGACTCCTGCACCTTCTCTAAGCACAGGGACAGTGCTTTCCCCTGATAATTTGCCTGATTTGAGAACCAGTTCTAAATCTTGTCAACATTGCAAAAATTAAATCCTAATTGCTGCTTTGGATTTCCCTGGAATGGTCTTGAAATTTTAATTAATTTTACAGTATGTTTAACAGATTTTGTACTCTCACTTAACTGCCTAATTACTGGGCCTTAATTTTCCCCATCTTCCTCTCCACACACATACAAAAAAAAAATCTTATTCATCACTCACTTTGGAGTAATAACAGAAACTCTTTTTAAGCATAATTTCCCCCTCGAAAATCAATCAAATTTAGTCTGGATCCAGAAAGAATAAAATAAATATGACAGACAATAGCTAATTTTAAGTGCTCAGATGTCGGCTGCCTCCAATCTCCCAAACTGAGATACAACTGCTAGTTATATCAGAACTACTATTATTTTATTATGCCACCAATCTTTTCACTGTTTGTAAGAAGCAGAAAGAGGACATTTTGTATGAAATTATGTAGAAATTGGGTCCATGGGGTAAGTACAGAACATTAGAATGCAAGCTATACTGAAAACTTGGTTAGAGGATGGGTTGTATTGGTTTAGATCACTCTGTCTAAAGCAGGAAGAACTACTGGTTTTACTGGTACTATTTACTTAGCAGGGAAGTAATTTTAACTCTTGGTTCAAGATAAATGTTTGTAACTAAAATAGCAGGAAAGCTATTGTCATAAGGTATAACCAGTTTTAATCCACATAAAAAAAGAACAAAAACACAGAAGTTTATGGCACAATAGATATGTTTGAAATGTAGAAAAGATTCATCAAGGAGCTGGATTATTGATTATCTTCTAATTATTACCTGTAGAACACAAGTATATAGAAAGCTAAAACCATATGTTACAGAAGATTAATAAAATTCAGCAATTCTGTTGCATAATTTAGCAACACAGTGGAACAGGCAAATATATCATAGGTTGTTTGTCAAGTTTCTCAGGTTCAAGTCTCAAGTCACATGCCAGGAATATATTTTACTCACAGCACCACACCTTCTGCATCATTCATCAAACTAGGTATTCTCATCTTTTGTAGATATTATAGTCAGTCCAAGAGGAGAGATTTTGAAAAATCAGGGTCAAGTTCATGTTACACACCCCTGTAAGTACTTTTGGAGAAAGGAAAAGGTGCCTGTCACTCTCTCTGTAGGGACATAGTAAAGTTTTCCATCCTGCATTCTCTTCAGGATCTTATGTCTGAGGGTCTCTGTGTGCCCTGAAATTTCTCTTCATAAGCAGCCACTGCAACTGGTGAAAGCATCTCTGCATGTATTTCTCTTGTACTGATGCTACCTAGAAAATTATTCTGGTAGCTGGAGTAGACAGTTCAATTTTCTGTTTCCTGAAGTTAACCCTCTCAGACTTTTTCAGAACATAAGCACAGCCATTCTCAGGGTTTATATTCTGGGTTTACAGTCTATTTTTTTGGTGACAAATGTTAGATGTAACTCATTGAATGCAGAAGGACATGCTTTGCAGTTTATTTCTGTACAAAATAAATCTTCACTCAGATAGCAGGTGTTTATGCAGCAGTAAACAAAATAATGAAGCCCTACCTGTATTAATACTGCTGCTCAGGGTCTTTGGATTTAGATCCAGGATCATTCTGCAGTCCTTGTGAATCACCACAGCTTTATTTTCAGTCTATTTTAGCATAATTCTTCCTCTGTCCCACCTTAGCTTTTCAGGAAGTTAAATATCTTTCTTTCTGGTTTTCTTTCTGGTTTCAAAGGGATGGTTCCAGGCTTGCCTGTTTTTGCACAGTAGATGGAGATTATC